ATTCAGATGGCATATAAATTTTAGCCCAATGCCAAGGAATACATTATATGTGGAAAAACAAGGCTTTGTCAAAGTACAACAACAGCAACACTCTCTACTTTTCCAGTAAAAGATTCTGCAGAATGTTGACCTAAGGACAAGTGTAGTTTGGAAGTCTACAACAACTTGAGACAAGTAGTGGGGCGCTCTCCAGAGGAAGAACTGCAAATGGTTTCTTCTGTCAGTAATGCGCACCTAAACCAACCTGAAAAGTTGTGCAAGCCAAGTGAATTGGTGTGGTATACTGGTGACACTCACAACTGTGTACAATGATAACTTCCTCCTTCATCTTCTTCAAAAGCAGTCTGGAATAATAGATTGGCGGGAAGAGGCTGCACTTCCTGTAGAAGAACAATGCTACTGTAGAACGCATCTGTAGAAAGAACACACTGCGTACCTTAAAGTGGGAGGAAGGAAGGTAACGCTTCGCGCCTTAGCTTTAATAAAATCATGTATTTTGAATTTTCCCATGGTCGAAGCATTCAAAACTCAAAAAGAAAACTTTGGCAGACCCAAAATACACATAAACGCAGTCAGTTACTGATCTTGAAGCAAAATTTTGCCAAACAAAAGTTGGCGAAGCAGTAAAAAAAAGCCTAAAGAGAGGCAGTTCAACGTTAAACCAGAAATAAGAGGGATGGGAGTAACTAGCCAACATTGAGAGCGCTCTCTTTGCAGAAACCCCATCATGATCATCCAGATTATCATCCACGACAGTTACAGCAAACGAATGAGAATCGCTGAGGGTTAGCTCAGCATCTCGTGACTGCCTCAATGAGAGACATGGGCTTTGAGTGAATTTCTCACCAAAAGGCCTCGTTCTTTATACCATAGGAGTGGGTTTGGAGCAGTTTGTAACTAATGGCAAAAAATCAAACACTTCCCGCAAAAATCCCGGTTTACATGGCCAAACAACTCTACACTGAGGTTGTTGAAAGTTTTGTCTTCCTTCCCTTTCAAAAGTGGTAAAATCTAATAAACACTTACATCAATAACAAGGGAACGAGACTTGAGATCGCTAATATATCCTAAGATGAGATGAGAAAGAATTTTCTGGATTTTCAGGTCCTGCAAAAGAAAAAATGGAAGAGTTGTAATTCTATTGGTAAGAGAGACCTGATACAGAATGGATGATTATCTGGAGCGCGTTTAACAGATTGGAAACGAAATTTCTGCATAAGCTTTTGCATACAAAATATAAGTGTTAAACCTTATTTCTAAATTCACGCGATTCTTTGGAAGAAAGTTGTTCCGACTTGATAACTAGGTAATCTGAAGCCTTGGGCAGTGATTGGCCAGTCCACAAGACATTTTGGTAAAGCGATTGGCCGGGACATTTCATGGGTTGGCAATACAAGGTAAATTATACTGAAACGGATACATCCTTCAGAGGAAGAAAGAACAAGGAAACTCACATTGGAAAAAGAGGCAAGTGGAGCGAAAATAGTTTCGTAAACGTCATCAGGAGAGAAGACAAGTGGCTGTCGATAGAAACGACGAATTGGCTCGAAAGGAACTGTTTCCTAACAAAAAAGCCAATGGTTAGGAAAAAAAACACTTCATGCATTCATAATTCTGCCACGGTGCGGATCGATTCGCTCATCCATGCATCCACTCACTACTTCATTCAATCAACAAAATAACTGTCGAGCCATTCGGGCATCTGTAAACCCACCCATTCCTTCACCCAGATTTTAGTCGATTCACCCATCCAAACGAACACCCATCCACCCAACCAACTATGCATTCAACGACTTGCCCGTCCGTTCATCGACTTATGAATTATCAAACCATCCATTTACCTCTCTGGCCTGCCATACATTCATGTTTCTGACCTATCTGACCAAACACCACATCGCCCAACCATCAACAAATTCATCCAAGTAACCAACCATCCAGTGTTTCATTTATCGGCTCAGCTCTCCAATCACGCATCTGTGAAACAACACAATTCCAACTAATCATCAATCAAATAATCTGTACGTTCATACATCACATTACCCAGCCATCTATGCGATCATTCATTTGGCTGATAGACTTAAGGGACCACCCACCTGACTTCTTTCTCCATCACACCCGGATAAATAGCTGCTTCTGCTACTTTTTGAAGCCTTTCTTGCAGCTTTCTGCACGTCAGCAAGGCGAGACAGAAGGTGGGAGACGATTTCTAGTTGTTGAACAAAGGAATCCCCGTCATCCCCTTCCGAAGGTGTTTTCGTGGATGCTTTCACAAGTTTTTCCGCCATGTCTTGACAGTAGTGTCGCAGAACGGACTTAGCACCCGGTCGGTTTAGCAAACAATCCACCAGGGTGATCTACAAGCGCGAGCCACGTTTAGGAGAAACTGGGAGCTGATTGGCTGACGACCAACCAATGGCACATGGAAACCGATAGACTATTGCCACTCAAAAACTGCACATTTTAAAGTGGCATCAAAGAATGGAAATTACAAACCAAATAAAAGGATGCAAAAGTGTAAAAGTCAGAAAAACGGTTTCCGCAAAGCTAAAACTGTGAGGAGACTTCCGCACGACACGATGACGAAACAGACACCCGCCCAAATTGAAAGTTGAAACGCCTGTACCACTTTTTTGTCAAGGATTTAGATACCCAACTGACGCGTCCCCCGTATTCAGCTTTCCTAAAACATTTCTAAATGCCTTTCTGTTCAATTTTTGGCAGAATAGGCCCAGAATAATCGTGTTCTTGGCTTTGATCAGCTAAATATGGCGATTAATCTACATCAGTCATACACGCAAACACCGCCTCTTGGCAATATTTCGCAAGTGACAGAGCGCCACTTCTTCCTCTTTGATCCAAATAAGCTTCAAAGTCATATTTATCCCAAGACAAAAGGCCTCAGAAAGAGTACTCTCTTGTGCAATTTCATGCAGAGATTACCCAAAATCGGATTCTTCAGTCCAGAATAAGCACTGGCAGGACACACAAACGTCTTTAAAAGTTCATACGATTTGTTCAAAAAGGACAGCAGTTCTGTCGTCGCATTACACAAATTCTTGCATCTTCACAAGACACCTCATCACTTCACGATGTTACATGCAAGGGCTGGTCGTTGATATGTGCGCTGGCTGCTAGTATGCAGTGGGACAGGCTTATGACCTACGACACCACTTCTATCGTATACCAGCTAAATTAAAGATTTCAACTTGGTTTGATAAACCAGCAAATCGTTATGATGCCAGGAGGAAATGACCACGAAAGAAGCTTGGATACTAACCACTATTCATTTTATCGTTTCCAATTTTAAAGGAATGAATTATGAGTGGTTTTGGCGCAGGCTGATTCTACCAGGCTGACAAATTCGAAACTCAAAATCATCTTACTAATTGACGATTTGTTTCGTGCGGGAGGAATACCTCAAGTTTGTCCATTTTGCTCGCCCAAACACGTGAAATAGTAGTAGGAGTCGAAAAAGACCGCAAATCAAGGCTCTGTCATAAATAAAAAGCGTAATGACGTGTTACAGAGATAGCAGCGCATTCGATCTTGACAAGCTATTGAAAATCAGGTTAAGATTTAATAATATTAGGAATGCGGCATTCTGATTGGTCAATGGCGTGCAAAAAACTCGGGCAATGCAGTACTCCGATTGGCCAGGCATCCCTAATGCTTTTACAAAAGGGCAGCGAAACCAGTTAATTGGCTCGGTTTCACATCTTTGTTTTGCAGAGTTTACACAGGTTCTAAAGTTATTGACCAGGTCAAGAATGTAAAGAAGCCTCCTACAGGCCACTGTCTGTAGTAAATCCGTTTTTTATTCCAAAAAACAGCGTTTAGGCGATACCTACACACTGATACAGTGTTTGGGGGTCATTTAAATTGACGAGTTACCGAGGCTGTGATACTATTTATTCGTATGATTTCTAGATAATAGCTTACCGCAATGAGTTCTGACAACCTGTGACGATAAATATGCGTTAGTCTATCGGTAAGACAGTCTTTGTTACGATCTGATCCGCTTTCTGCATACTTTATACCCAGCCACATCTGGCAAGATTTTTGCCGGACAAACCCAGCAGATGGTACTTGCGTTGTTTTTTGCTTCAAAAACCGAATCTTCACCACCCCAAAATATTAGGCGAATGGATTAACAACAGATGACTTCCAATTCTTTGTTCACTTTGCCTACCGGAAAACGCGCCACACAAGTGTACTGCGTCGTGAAATGACTTCCGCATTCCATCTTTAGCTAAAAAGATGATCCCGTAATTTTTTAAAATTACCGATTGGTTCTTTTTCTTACTACCACACAAACTTATTCGGCTATTTCACACATCCACCGACATTCAAGGGAGTTAGTAGATAGACAAGACTAGGTCCGCTTAATATTTAAAGTCCAAAATTTTCCTTTTTTTAAAAAAAATGAAGGTGACTACCAATTAGTTCACACGACACCAAATGGTATGACTTCATCTGAAAAGAAAGGAATTTATCCTTCCCCATATTTTCAAAGGTGATCGATATATACAAAAAGAAAATAGCAAGTCAATCCACCCTTCCAGTAGAACCTCATACTTTCAGACACCTCGATAGATGTCTGTCTTTAGCAAAAAAAGCAAGTCTTGGAAATAACAATATCAGGCAACCTCATTATTAGCTCATACGGCTTTAAAAAAGTAAAACAAGGGAAGGGATTGTCTGTTTCCCTTTTTCCCAGAATAGCAAGAAAAGAAGATAAAAATCTTACCGGATCAGGAATAAGTTTTGTGAAGGCTTCGAGATTCAGATCCACTGTCCATAAGCAACCTGTGTCAATAATTAAACAAGGAAAAAATAAAGCCCATTTAAAAAGGACGCAAACAAGACTGCAGGTTTAAATTTGTTGATAGAATATTACCCAGACTACCGTCAATGACAACGTTAGGCGGAATGATTATCCAAGAGGGGGTGTCTTCGTGAAGATGCCGTTAAGGGAGCCGAGTAATTATAATTGATAGGGTTTAAATTTGATGAATAAAGGAAAGGATACATAGAGGTGTATGAAACTCGGTTTCTGGTTCAAGAGAGAGAGCTGGAACATCTACAAGGGAAGAAGAAAAAAATAAAACCTCCTTAAAATCTCAAAAGGATAAGATTTAAAGGCTTATATTTGATGCGCTTCGCAAGTAAGGTTGAGGAATGATGACCGCCATAAGAGAAGAAAAATGACGCAAATAGGCTGAGATTTGTCAACATGTGTCGACAGAAGTCGCGTACTTGGGAACTTGCACATTCGAGTACATTGAGAACATCCTCAGCGAAATTTGGCGGAATAATGGACAGCTACATCTACCAGGAGTTCGCTAAGATAGTCAATTGAAGAAATGTAAAAAGATTTTATGAGCACCCAAACTGACCCATAGACAGGAGAAAGAAATTCGTACTTTATGAGAGGGGACCCAACTGCTCGATTAAATTACAAAAAGCTCACTTTTGCACGGATTCGATAGGTGAACAACAACTAGCGATAAGGGGATAAGCGAGTCGACGAAAGTCTTTAAGACAACTTAATCAACCAATACACGAACTCATAGATGACTAAACGTATGGGAGAAATAACCTATTTTATGGTGTATGAGAGAGAGAAGGCACTGCTGGTCAGACATGTCACAGTACTAGTCCTCTAACTGGAAGAGTCTCAGGAAGCAGCCAGGTAATGTAATTTGATGAATATCTCAACATGCATTAAAAGATGTGAATGTGGATCAACTAGGCACACGAAGAGGTGGCAGAACATCTCTAAGAAAGGATCGATAGATGGATGTGTTGACATTTTGACCTACTTTTGCAAGGGATGCTCACTTCCGCCAGCGATGCGGGTGGGAGAAGAGGATAGTGATATTGAGGACCGCCATAATCATCTAACCGTTCATTCTTTGCTAATCCCCTAGTTGCGGAGGCAGTACCAGCGGCAGAAGCGATGTCATAGGCGAGAGAGGTACGCGAGTGTTGGTGGTGCACGAGGACCAGATCGCGCACAAAACTCACCGCAATCCGACCCACCTCAGGGACTACTAAGACATGCCGACGTCGTACTGGACCTCGTCTAAAGGCAAATAAGATTAACCAAACTCCAAGTTTGGTTTAAAAATAAGTGAAAACGTTAATTACTTGCATATATTTCATGACTTTGGGGGAAAAAGTAGTATGGGAAATAGTTACACTGAAGTGATTTGATTTCTTGTTTAGTTGTGCGTTTAACTAGGTAAGGCCTCAGTGTCCACTATGTCCCAGCCTTCCTGTGCATTATTAGTAAAAAGCCCCTAGAGGCGTGGCTCATTACTATTTCAGAAAAGACTCGGAACGTCAAATAGAGGAACTATCGGGTGGGTATCCTACCGAATTTAAAAGAGAGTATCATGATGAATGGATGACTGCATCGGACAAATTGACTTACCGCATCAATTGATAAAGTACAAGTTGAACTCCACCCTCCAAACTATGAGACAGAATGCAAGCGTAGAGTTGGCCATAGCTGCAAAAGAAAACATTTATCAATTAATTCGGTCTGATGCATAAAAGGAGGTAAAAAAGAAGTCCATGCATGGTGAATAAGAGCAAAGTCAAAATTGAGAAAGACACATGAGTTATCTACTCAAAGAAAAACCCCGTCAAAGTTGATGTTGCCACCGTTCAGGGAGAAAAGACAAGTAGCCACTTGGTTAGTTCATTCCATCAAAATATCTATATTTTAAAGCTGTTAGCACATCTACCTTATTTCTCATGAGACCCATTAGAAGAACCGACCAACCAAACCGTATAGGTGGTTCCCAAGTGCATCGTTACTACGTTGTAAACAGAATACTAGAGGAAAAAAATAACCAGACGTCAAACTTTTCAGCAATAAAACGTACAGATTAGCCAGAAGACAATTCTTTTGCTGAAGTTTCTTTAAGTCATCTGATGCCGCTGATGTTGAAGTCGAAGACGGAGAGAGAATCTCTTCTTCGGGTACCTCAAAACTCGAACATTTCGTTACAAAACCCTAAAACCGAAAAGGGGTTGAAGTCTTTAAAATTCTTTCAATCTGCCACCAGGAAAGGTTATCAACTAGAATAGTACATAGATGTTCCAACCAATCAAATTATAGATCTGGTCTCCAGAATACACATCTTACATGGTATAAGAGAGATGTTTAACTGAAAGATTTCCTCATATTCAAACAATTAAGCTGTTGCCTGGTCCAATCCACAAATTCAGAGCAAAAGTTGCGCGCTCTTGAGGATGTGCAAGGGCGCCTTGGAAGTAATCAACGAGAAATTATTCACAAATGATCTGTCTAACTAAATTTGGACACCAAACAGGTGAATGGGGACAAAAACAGCATCGAATGCAGTATCGATTCTAAATTGAAATAATAACTGGTATTTTTACCAATTAGTACAAATTAACACAGTAGTTTCTCACATTTGCAAAAGAAGTCACATGGATACGGTTCCCCAAATCACCAGTTGAGAGGAGAAGAATTTTGTTGAGAGGATCCCATGCGTACCAGTTTGTCTGAACGGAGCCGTGTTTGAGAGCGCGAACAAGGTGGCTATCAGGAAGAACCTATAGCACGCACATTAAGAAGATAGGGTGGAGAAAAAGCTCTATTCAGTTAGGTACATTTACCTGGTATAGTTCAAAGCCTTCATTTGTAACAAAAATTATTTCGTTGTCACTGGACCAAATAAAACCGATTATACTTGAAGCCGTTTTCTAAAAGGGAACATTTAAGCCAATACTTAAATTCTTCATACCTTGCAAGTTTGCGAGTATTCAATGTCTTCTGGACGACCATTTTCAAAGTTTATAAAGTCAACACAATTTCGCTTCCGTTGCAGACTCAGAACTGTACAGTTGGGATCGAACTTAATCGAAAGGACCTCTCCTTTATCACAGATCCTGAAAAGACGTGAAATATTTCGTAATGAATAGGCAAAGTGGTATGACCAACCGAAAATTAGATGTTTTTCGGGATTCTAACGACTTGACATTCACTCCCATAGCACCTCTCGCACGAAGAGTAAATACCTAGAATGAGGGCCAATCATAGTTACTTCACACAAGAGAAAGCGATTTGTGGACAAGACGAGAATGGTGGCAGGTGTTTACAAAGCACAACATACTTTAAATGCAAAAAGCGGAAGAGAGCTAGACTGGATTGGCGTACTCCAAGATGAAATAACGCAAAGCAAGCAATTTGGCTACACCACCATTCTCTTGATAAGGTACACAGCTCACATTACCTGCCCATTAGCAGGATCGTAATAAACACTATTCATGCTACTAATGGGCTCAAAAACAAGAGGATTTGGACTAAGCGAAGCGAAAGAAATCATTCCGAATGAGGAGAATGAGCCGCGAGCACGAACGACGACAAATGAAGGGACTTGCAAAGGACAATTCGTGACGTCTAGGTCATTCATAAAACCTAAGATATCAGGCATGCTTCGTTTTCCAAGCCGAATTATAACCACAAATTTTAAGGAGATGGTATTCTACGAACGTGCTAATATCCATTTTGAAGCTTTTTCTCTCCGGAAGCATTGAATATTGTTGGTAATATGTGCAATTAAAGCAGCTAAAGTCCAAAGTTCCTAAATCAACAATAAAAAACATTCTTAAGTTTTTTTTGACATTAAGGGTCTACTAAATTATAATCATTTGCTCCAGAAGCATATAGGATTAGACACCAGAAATGCACGTGTACTTATTGCCAAGCAACTTCGCCTATAGATTTGCTTTTTAATTTCTGTTAATTTGAGAGGCAGCGTTTAACAAAATAAGGAAACCGTTTTTTAAATTGTTTGTGCGATAGTTTAAATAATGTCCAGTGGGTGTGCTAACCAATCGTTTTCTCGTTTAAGGTGATGTTTTTGTATCGAGGGCGGTGTCGGACAGTTAGCACTTCATTATCTCCCCAGGGCAGGTCTTTTAAGGTTTGCGGGCTGAATTAAATTTGATATTTTTTTGAATGCGTTCATATGGCTTTCCATTTATTTTGTTCGTCTCTCCTAAATTGCAGTTCTTTGCCTTTTTCCGTAGCGATGTGCAGCGATCGTAGCTTCTGAATTTTCGTTAATATTTTACTTAATTTATCCGGCCTTTCAGTGATGCTTGTGCACAATTTGAAGGAGGTCAGGCTTCCACCGATTTCCAATCCCAGAGGTCAATTCAGGAACATCTTTTTCACCATTTCGTCCCAAGCTGGCAATGCTAGTAAGACTTTATCTTGTTTTACTCTCTCAGTCATTTATAGAAGCCACTCTTGTACGGATTTCAACGTAGGATATCGAGTTTCCTTCCTTACATTTCACATAGAACCCAATTTGGACAGTGTCAGGCGTTTTCTCATCTTATTGCTCTCAACAAACTTCTCAAGGTAAATATTTGTTTCTTTGTACACTTTTTCTCAGTATATGTCTTTCGATTTTATCTGGTTGCTAATACGGACCAGCGGAATTTCGTAATGACTTTATCCGTAAATTTCAGCGCTTTTTATTCGTTATTCCCTGATGTGAGTTTGTCGCTACTTCGTCTCTTATGGAACTGCTTTTTAGTCTCAGTTTCCAGAGCAGCCGAATGATCGAATTATTCTTCGTTTTGACGGTTACTACTTTGCTGAACATCTTCGTGACGTTGACATCAACTCTGCTGTAATATTTCCTATTTTTGTCATTCTTAATTATCTCGTTTTTAGTTTCTTCCTATTAAAACATCCTACACTCTAATCCAACTCAAGCAGTAACTTTGGTTTATTTGTCTACCTCCTGGGATATTTTAGAATTCTCTACCTTGCTCAAAAGATTGAACTAGCCAAATCGCGGTATGCCGAACTCCAGGAGGACTTTTGCACATTCCTTGAAGAACAACGCGAGGCCACTGAGACAGTTCGTGTGATTAATTGGTTGTGATCTTTAGGTGGATAAAATGAACACCACATATGTTCGTATTTCAACTCTACGAAATCGTATTCACTCTCTGAATAAAAAGATAAGCAGCCTCAATTCCCGAGTTGAATCAATCAATTCACAAAAAGCAGAACTTGGTGAGTTAAAAGTTCAAACGATATTTTCACTATAGATAAGGAGGAAGACAGATTACTAGTGCTGTCAGAAGCCTGTAGCCAAAAAATGGCGCGTATCGGTAGCTGTCTTCGGACGAAGAAGTAGGTCTGATCGTCAGCACATGTTAAGCTTTAGATTGGAATTGACTAAAATGCTTCAGCTGTGCAATCTTCGACGCTTTCATATGCTCTATGAGGTGGCGACTTTCTATCCCATTGAAGTGGTCGGAGCGACCTCTGCGGCTGGGAAGACGCCGCCAAATCCGTCAAACTATGTAAGGTTATGACATTTTACCTTAAAGTGCATCCTACGTCATCACTAAACTTGTCGCACATTGTAATCTCTTGCTGTCTCAGTTTGTATTGTGTTTGGTTCCTCTCTGAACTTGTTTTAAGGCGCTGATAGAAAACTTACTCCGCAATTTTCAGGGTTAACGAATTAGTTAAAAGAGAATCCTTAAAGTCCTCGCGGGACGCTATGGCTAGTCGTATTCCCTGCTATCTCTCCTACTGATAATTGTTGTCTTTTACTGACAGTAGAAATAGTCTTACTAAAGTAGATAGGGTGGCTAGATTCACTCCAAGTTTTTATGTCGTAGGGGTGACTATTATAATCAATCAAATAGTAGCTTTTATGCGGCTGTCTCACGTCTGCTATTAAACTTGCACATGATAACCTGGATTACCTGTTATTAGCACTGTCGGCATGGTTAATATCATCTTTTATGATTAGTGAAGTCATCCAATTGTTTTTAATAATAATCCCCACTATTAATGGCTGTTTTTGCGTCGTGGCTGAGCTTTCACGTGACTTCGGGTTATCCGCAAAACATGGCGTCGAAACATCCTAGTATACTTTTTTAAAGCATAGATCCTACTTTTTACAAATGCCACGTATAGTTGGCACGAGCCGGAGTGGTTTCTTTGACTACTCGTGGTGAGAAATGATAACTACAGAGTAGATCGTCCCCTTAGCACAAATTCAACTAAAGGTAGTGAGTTGCTGATAAATTCAGCCATTAATTTATCAAACATGATCCCTTCAGCTGTCTTTACATAATAATATGTAGTCCCCTGCAACAATGTCCTTATCATTCGGTATACTTGAGTCGTAATGACTCGTCTTGCTTAGCTTCAAGCATTCCACTTTTAATGCGATCTAGATGAATGAAGTGTGTTACAAGCGTTAAAGCAAATTAAATAAAATGGGGGGTAAAAGTTCTGTCTATTGCGTTTGTTGTTATATCTCTCACACTTTGGTATTATGGGGGTCCATCTTCCACTTTTAGGTCCTTTGTTGTTTGTTTAGCCTTACCGATTGTTTTTCACTTTTGGTGAAGTTATGTCACCTTCATGATGGGATACGATTTGAATCGGTTATGCCCAAAGGATTGTGGGTGGTGAGTGTTTGAGACGTGTCCTTCTGACAAGGGACCTTAAACGAGATGACCTGAGCCGTGGTCACGGTGGAGGGTGACCCAAAAACACCTGGGTGATGACAGAGGCTGGCATAATCGTCCATCCGCCCGTCTCATGGCCATCTATCAGCTCGACTAGAATACAAGCTCTATGCTGCAAGGACGATGGTTTACTTATTTTTAAATCGTCCTGTGGTTGTAGATTTAACTCCCTCAAGTAGCAATTATTTCCATACTTTTGGTGTTTTACACATTAAAAGTTCCCGCGCTCAAGTTGGCCACATATCAAATAATTTGGAAGTTTTCTTTAGCAAACAATCATAGAAGTTAAATCTAACTCACTTCTATAAAATATCTGTAAGTTTGCAATATTTTAAAGGAATGGTAACATGCTAGGAGGTGACTCCACGGATATAATGGAAAAAATCCTCTGTAAACAAAAACAACAGAACCAACATGACTTTTTCAGTCCATTTAGATGTACCTTCAATGAACTGTTTTGTGTCAACTTGTTCGTTTTTCCTTAAAATCTAACAATTGGGTTCTTTTGAGCCCCAGGAGAGAAAAAAAACTCTGTTTTTGTCTTACCGAACTCCGTGATACCATCTTCTCTGCTCAAACGTCTGCAACATCAAGAATTAAAAAGACGGAGATAGGCTTTTACTACATGGCTCAAATAAATTTGTCTTCACTATTTATGGCGCCTAGTCCTAGCCAGAAGGCTAGAAAGTTCCCGTGGTTCTGGCTAAAGACATGTAGACATTGGTGGAATATTGGCGATTGGTAAGCATGCGTCAGTCTCTCGGCGTTGTACCATTTTTCTCTTATTTTAAACCCATCCTTAGATCGGAAAATGTTGGTTGAAGGAACCCGATAGATGCGGCTCGAGTTCACCTGCTCGCTTCCATAACCCTAAGTGCTTTTCTTAGCACCTTGCTATATGTGGTAGTTGGCGAAGGTACACCAAGTGGAAGCAGAGGCTTTTGCCCAGAAATGAGTCATGGAAAAAATTGGGTTTTGGGAATGAATGCCTAGGTGATGCTTGGTCACGTGAGGGCTCTCAGTGCTTGATCATGAATAAGAGGAGCATTACGTGTTGCTGGCGCCTAAAGTGGCCGCCGAAGTCTTAGTAACGCTTGATACGAGGGGAGTGAAAAAATCTTAGAACCCATGGCAATGAGTTTCCCCCGCTTGTGTTAGCAGCTGATGACTGGTGATGTTCATTTGAGGCTGTTGGTTTTCACTTCACCTTGTAAAAACGTGCAGCACTTTTGTTTTTTTACTGATCACATCATTGTTTATTGCTAAAAGATGTAACAACCAAGCCAAGCGTAACCTAATGCTTGGAAGGCTGTGCTTGCTTTGTGTATTGGTGTGCGTGGCGGACTGCGGACGGATCTGTTCACTAGGAAAGGGTTGCTTGCTGAAGGTCAAACATCAATTTCTGCTGAGATCTATCTGCTCGATACAACTTGAAGGTGTGCAAGAACAACCGCTGGAGAAATAAACAGGAATAGAGAGTCAGCCTATCATCACAAGGACAGCATGACTACCAAAATGGCTGTGGAAAGTCCTCATGAGTGCAGTTTTGGACGGAGAGGGAGAGAGGCAAAGAAATACTACTTCACCCCCATCTCCGTGTTCCTCTGACGATGTTTCTCCGAATGAGGCCTGTGACCTCTTCTGGGCATACTAAATAACCAAATACGTTCTATTTTGTTTGGCTAAGTTAGTTCATTTGCCTTTGATATCATGGTACCAAACGTGTTAGGCTGTACGTGACAGTCTTGCCATTAGCATTGGTGACTCATGGTTAAAGTGATATCGTAGTTAAAATGGAGTCTTTCTTTTGTTGAATATTTTAGGAGACGATTGGAAATTTTTACGTTTTCCCTGACTTGCAAGTAGGCGATGGAGAGGCACCGTCTTAGGCTAGCTGTTGTTTATGCCGATTTGATAGTTATTACTATTTAGTAATCACCCTGGATGCCTAATCATAGGCTTCTTTCATATGTTTTGTCATATGGTTGGCATCGTAGGCGTTAACCTGAATCTTTTCAAGCCATTTGATGATGTGTGATACTTGATCTTGGAGTGGAATCACCAACTTGTTTATCGCTGGTAGGCCTCGGCATCTTTGACTGGGTGAAATTGTTTAAGTGACCTATTTTAGAGCATCGACACATTCACCTATTGGTAGTTGTGCCCCTCACCTATGTATCTTTGTTTTTTTCAATTGAAGTGTCACCCGGGTTCCTTTGTCTTGAACACCATCCATTCACTTACCCATTTGCCCAACTATCTATTCTGGATTCAAGCATTTACTGCCGATCTTTGACACGCAGTTCGTCCACCCACCCGTCATTCGTTTACCCGGCCATATTCCATCACCGGCTTTACAAAACTTATTTTTTCATCTTTTTCTAGCTATTGACAATCTGTGGTTTACTACTGCTGGAAAGTGACGCTCCGGGAACAACCACTTCCACCGCACCAGCCTCTTGGATAGACGTGGGCAACGGGATGCTGATACACAAGAAGCCCTCCTGCCTCATTCAAGACGATGGAGAGGAGGGACAGCGTTTGTCCCAATCATTACGTGGCCTCCTCCTCACTAATCGGATGCCTACGGCGTGTGCTGCCCTCCTCCATATTGTTTGCCTCCTCCGGCTCTTCTCTACCATCCTGAATGTGCCCTTGAGATATCCCATGGAGGAGGCTTCTTCAAATCCGAGTGATGCCTTTCGGCCACGGATTTTGGATCCGTTTATGGTGAATCGCTTTGGGGGGAGGTTAGTGCACTTTGTGGCCCTTCTATCTCCTTACATTCAGTGAGATACTAGGAAAGTTACTCTCGACGGTTATTTTAGCAATCAAATGAGCTAACGCTGAAGGTAGTGTACCGAAAGGTGGTGGATTATTTTGATGGGAGGCGAGTTTTGTGTGAGACATTTGGAAATCTCGAGTTTAGAGTACGCTAGGTGCAGTTTTCAACCACAGTCCGGCCTGGACCAAGATTTAGCCAAATGCGGTCGTGGAGTGCATGGTTATCACGTGTTAGACCAGGCAAACCGAAGTTTGCAAGCTAAATGAGCACAAAACGCATTTCAAAGAGTGGATTCTGCATTTACATTTCAGAATCATCACTGACAGTTATAGGGTTGTCTTTGAAACGTCAGTGCTACTCAACTTAAATTTTCTACTTTTGTGGATCCCACCATCGTTCCGTAACGTGCTTGGGTCTTCTGCGAGAGCAGATATTCACGAGCTTTAGCCTCGTCTTCATAGTGTTGCGTGCACGCACTCGTCACCATCGCCTGTTGTCTTGATTAAGAGCAATAGGCGACAGGCAAGGAGCATCAACGACCACTAATTTACTCAATTTATGTGGTCAGAAACGTGCCGTGCCTTCCGGGCCGTTCGCAGACTGACTGATATGATGAGAAGTGCCTTTTGTATTCGAACGTTCATCAGGCGCACGAATAAATTTGTTTACCTTCAAACGACGCAGTCGGTGCGTCGTTTTTAAGGCACCAAACAGGTCGTAAGCGGACGTCTGTATTCGCGCTGGGTACGAATGCGGGGGGAGGGGCTTGCGAGTGAAGTTGTTCACTAAAAGATGCTTACTTGCTGAAGGCCAAACATCAATTTCGTCTGGAATTCACCCGCTCAATACAACTTAGTATGCATTAGCGTATATTTGGTAAGTAAGTAGGACTCGTGCACCAGTCGAAAAAGCGCGCAGTTCTTGCGAGACATTCCAGTGCTGCACACCGCCACAAAATTTTCCCTTAATAGCGCGTTTTAAGACTGGAAGGGAACGCTGCTTCACACTCTTCGTTACCTCCTGCTGATATCTCTCCAGGTGGTGGTTGTGACCTCTTCTTCTGGGGAGAAGTTTTTTCTGTCTTTTAGAGACAAGGACCGCTGCATAAATCGAAGACTAGTTAGTGATAACTCCAAATTAACACTCAAGTTTACATCTCCTCGCATTGCTTGCAAATTTGGAGTCAGGTCTTGAAACCTCGCTATGTAAGGGACTTTTCGATCAGTAACAAGGTGGACTTGAGAATCATTTGGTAAATACTTGTGAAGTTGAGAAAGATGATTGCGTCCATCTCCAACTAGACACATACGTTGACAGCTATAAGTTAAATCGGCTGAAACGGTTTGTGTAAAGGGAGTGGTCGATTCATCATCATATCAAGCAAGAAGTAACTGAGAGCATCCGTTTAACAACTTGACTTACAGCCTTGATTTATCCCAATTTTTTTTCCTAGTTATTTCCCTAACGTAGCTCCCCCTTTTCTATCAGCTTTCCACTGTATGCACAACGGAATAATGCTGGCTACAGGTACGCAGTAGTCCTCCTCAACCGAAACATTGTTAATCTTCGCGCATTCTTCAATCTATCAACTTCGAACACCAGGGCCGCCTTGTGGAACATCAAAAACCTTCTGGAGGCCCGTCTTCTTTACATCGACTCGGGGCAGAGGTTGGTCAAAAAAGAAGGTTGTGCATTTTATAAGTGTACGTAAAAAAGGAAAATTATACGAATTCTGTTTTCCCGTCTTCCTTCTCAGACTCCCCAAGGAGGATCGGAAAGAGAAGGTAAAAGAAACATGAATAATTTAAAAAAGTGGCTTTTGGTACTTCCCCTGAATGTATACTCTGTACATCTTCAGTCGCTTTCGTCGATTGACTATCAACCTTCTGTCTGTCCTTATCTGTTTTTCTATGAGACCTTGATCAGTGAACAATTTGGTTATTTCATCTACTAGAGAATGCATCTTTGTATCTGTGAATTACCTTGTTCAAAAAAGTAGGCACAAGTGCCATCTCCTCGGGTGTAGAAATTTCGCCCGATACATCTCCCTTGCTTCACTCGTATCTGCGATAAGTCGTACAGACCGTAATCCCTGAAAAATATGACTCCGCCTGGTCGTAAACAGGTGTAGAGGTTCCTGATGGTTTGAGAAAAGCTAAAGACTTTGTCAGAGGGGGACGTTCGATTACCTGTCGGGACTGATGGCAGAGAGGACAAATATGCAGCAAATAGCATCAATACATTCTGGAGGGAATGGCCAGGTTAGATTCGGTTTGGAAATATCCTGTTGAAAAGCAAGGCAGTATTGGGGGTTGTACGAGGGAGAGGATCTAACCAATGATACCGCTTTCTCGGAAAAATCACAGGCGTAGACAAATGTCTCATCTTCTCCACGCCTAGCGGAAAAGATTGGCTTAGAGAGGCGACGATTTACCACCGGTTTTCAAGGATTGGTACAACTGAGTTGCCAGGACCACTACCGACTTCGAGGACGCGGAATCTACTGTTTTTCCCAGGAAATGAAGGAGGACCAGAGAGGAATGGACCAGAACAGAGTGACCCATCAATGAGTTCAACAAACTCGCGAGGAAGCCACTTTCGATTCCTAAAGAATCTGGCCTCGTGTTTGTCATAAAATTTGTCCCAGTATGTTGATGCATTGACAATAAAACGTTCTGTTGGCAAAATGCTGACCAAAAATGACCAAGTTTACCTCTCTCCTCCTCTGACAGAGTAATCACAGACAAAATGTCCACTGCGGCTCGTGCCTCCCGTTCCATCTCTTCTGTCCATTCATAATCATCCCTAAAAGTCGGAATACTTATGTTTTTTTACGATACCAAGCGTTTTGATTAAAAACATCCTCCTCATTTTCTAAACGTCGATTACCGAAGGATGACATCATCCACGCGTGCGACCTTGAAACTCAGAAGCAGGAGTGGCCCTAATAGATCTAACATCAAACTTTTAATCTAGATATGGTATAAATGCATTAATAAACATAAATAAATTTTTGCATAAGATTAGGGTTTAAAATTTTTGCGTTAAACAGATACATGCTTTTTGTTATAGGATCCAAAGAATGTTAGAAGCGGCTCTGCAACATTCAGCATAAATTCAGGCATTCTTTCCCATAAATCAAATAAGTACTTTAAGAATCGCCTAAATAATTTTATGCACAATTGCAAATAAACAAAAAGAGCAATCCTAAAACTAGTCTAAGCCTGTACTTCCAATATTTTATCAGCAGGTGATTACAAACGCGGGACTCCCTGAAGACGAAAGAAGACAAAATACTCGGGCAGAATATATATTCAGCGCAGGGAAGGCATCTGGGCTATTGGCATGGCCCAAAGGGCCAGCCCACACAGCGAGGTACATTGGGGCTAATTCAACGCACAAAAGTGGCGCCTCACCAATGCCGAGGGATAAACCACTATCACGTTACATGATAGTGTAGCGTCCCGAGGTTCCCTGAAGAAGAAAGAAGACACAATACTCAAGCAGAATATACATATATTTAGCACAGAGAAGGTGTTTGGGCTACTGGAATGGCCCGAAGGCCATCCCACTCAGCTAGATACAAGAAGGCCAATTCACAATTTCCGAAGTGGCGCCTCACCAATGCCGAGGGATAAACCACCATCGTATTGCATAGCCTCCCTCCTCTTTTGAGCGTCGTCCCCGGCGTTCCCGTAGGTCAACCTCTTACGTCAGCCACTATAATGTAGTCGGTAGTGTAAATAAACGCCCACGACCCGGCCGTGCCAGTCACCAAATTAGCATGTAACTGAGGAGATACTTGACCTCAACGTCACTGATCCCTCTTGGCAACTTAGCTGGATCTGGGGTTTCATTCGATCTGAAAACTTGATTCAGGAATGAGGAATTGTGCTGGCCATTATGCTTGTGCATAGATAGATGTAGGAACACCGGCAAGTCCATGGGGGACGGTAGGGAAAGTCTGTAACGAAACTTCCAGATGGTTCACAGCTAGTGTCACTTCAGCTGTTAATAGCTTTTTTGCTGACCAAGGGACTGAGATAGATGCCGAAGGTGGACGTCAACTTCAGCCCTTCTATTAGGGGTCGTCACCATTCTCCCATCAATGGCACATGTACTTCTTCCGCTCCACTAAGGTTTATCACGCAAAAGTGAAGAACAGGACACATGTCCTTTAGGATCATGTTTGCTTTTCATTGCCATCAA